CTCATTTTAGAAAAGGCCTCTTCCTAGCCAAAACCAAACATGGATTAAATGATTATGCACATGGAACCTAAGGTGAAGTGCCTCATCAGTGTGGGTTAAGATATTCCCAGACGTCTACCTCGGAACAGTGCCACAGAGCGAGAGAATGATAAAAGCCCAAACAGGAAGACCGTTCCTAATGCCAGCCAATTCGATGTCACAGTATAGTGCTCCAGGCGGTATCGTTGAAACACAAAGTGGTAACATTTCTAGAAGGAAAGAAAACCATATCGATATGAGATATACCTTGCAGAATATACATAATCATAAAGTATCACAGTAACATAAAGAGTGAGGAAGTAGGCCAGGTACAGTAGCTCAAGTCTATAATCCCAGAACTTTGGGAGGCCGAGGTGAGAGGACTGCCAGAGTACAGGGGTTCAAGACCAGCCTGGACAACCTGGTGAGACCTCATATCTATGATAAATCAAAAAATGAGTTGGGCATAGTGGTGTGCGTCTGTAGTTCCAGCTACTTGGAAGGCTGAGGCGAAGGAGCGCCTGAGCCCAGCAGGTCGATGCTGGGGTGGCCGTAAGCATGCCACTGCATTCCAGCCTGAGCAACAAGTGCTCCAACTCAAAAAAATTTTTAATTTAAATTTTTTTTAAAAAGTGAGGAAGCTGGAAAAAAGCTTCTATGAAGGGTCTAAGCATTTGCAAACACTTAGTGAAATACTCCAAATTCAAAAATAAAAGCCACTGTGTGCCATGGCTCATGTCTATAATCCCAGCACTTCAGGAGGCAAAGGCAAGAGGATCACCTGAGCCCAGGAGTTTGAGACCAACCTCAGCAGCATGGCCAGACCTTATCTCTACAACAAATCAAAAGAATCAGCCAGGCGTGGTGGTACACGCCTACAGTCTCAGTTACTTGAGGCTGAGGTGGAAGGATCAGCTGAGCCCAGGAGTCCAAGGCTGTGGTAAACTGTGATCGTGCCACTGCACTCCAGCCTGGGCAACAGGGTGAGACTCTACCTCAAAAATAAATAATAAATAAAAATTAAAAGATAAAAATCAACTCCATTAAAACAGTGTAGTCTGGGCCATCAGAGGGCTTGCCAAGAATGAAATCTCCTTAGCTTCATAGGAAAATTATCTGGATATTTTGCTAGCATTTAGAGTCCTAATAAGTTATTTTTTTTAATATTTAAACTACAACTTTTTGATGGTTTTATTTATATGAAATATTTCTATTTGATTTTGATATAATGAGTATTAATCTTTACTTTCCTGGATGACAAGTTTTCATATCAAAAAAAGGTCTCATGACCAAGTAAGAAGAAAAAAGAAACCCCTCACAGAACACGAGGAAAGTGCTGCTAATTATCTGCTAAACCACTTTATAAACTAGATGATTATTATAATATAAACACACATGCGTGAAGCCTGCTGTCTTCAGGCACCTTCTTCTCAGATTTCTTTCCTTCCCTCCTTTCAAGGAAACTACTTTTGGAAAGCAATTTTGCAATATGTAACAAATGTCATAAATCTGTCTGAATCCTTTTCATATTTTGGGGAATGCAAACAATCCAAATGAAAATATTTATCTTTAGCAGTAGTTATAATATTGAATAAATGAGCAACCTAAATTCTAACATGAATTATATCTAAGCATTGCATTATAAATGACAAGTCAATATATTTTGTCTAGTATTTAATAATGTTATATATTACATCCAATTCAACATATTATACCGCACTAAAATGATTAGTATAGATATGGCAACATAGAGAATGCTATAATATGATATTAAATTAAAAGGAATAGAAAGTCATATGTACACTTATTATTACAACCGTAATAAACCTTGATCATGATATATAAAAATGCTGGAAGGTGTTTTTTGTAAGGTATTGGGAATACTTTTACCATTTTCTAAGTTATCTGCAATGAGGTTCAATTACTTTTATAATCAAAATTATTTTTAAAACTATCACCCAGGCCGGGGTCAGTGGCTCAGCCTATAATCCCAGCACTTTGGGAGGCTGAGGCGAGTGGATTGCCTGAGCCTGCGGGTGCGACATCCGCCAGGCAACTTGGCGAGACCTCATCTCTACAATACATCAAAAATTTGCCAGGCATAGTAGCGTGCACCTGTAGTTCCGGCTACTTGGAAGGCTGAGGCGGAAGGATTGCTAGAGCCCAGCAGGGCGAGGCTACGGTGGCCAGGAGCATGCCACTGCACTCTAGTCTGGGTGACAGAGTGATAAATCTTGAATAGGTAGATCTATAGAGCCAGAAAGCAGACTAGTAGTCACTTAGGGCTGGGGAGATATGGGAAAAAGAACGAGAGGGATAATAGCTAAAGCATGCAGGGGTTGCGAGGTGATGAAAATGTTTTAAAATTGACTGTGGTGATGGTTGCACATATCTGTGAATGTACAAAAGACCACTGAATTATACCCTTTAAATATGTGAAGTAAGGTTTGTGAATTACATCTCAATAAATCTGTTGAGGAAAAAACCTATCACCCTAATTATTTCTTTCTGCCGACTGCAAATGGTAGCAGAAGGCAAGAAAGGGTTATGAGGCTACTGAGGCCGTAAGTACAGAGATATTCAAACTTAAAATAAGCTCTGCCAGGAAATCGACCCGGACAGGTTTTAAACCAGGATTACAAAGTATCCCATGTCACTGACTGCCTGATGTAATCCCAAACTCTTGAGCAAGTTTTATTCTGATCTAGTAGTTAAAGAGCACACATTTCATTAGCTCTGCTACAGAATGGAACTCTGTCATTAGATTCTTACTAGCAACAAAGGAAAATTAACACTGTAAACATGTCATTAGCAAATAAGAGTATGATGAACAGCTAAGTAACCAATACATAAAGCTTTAATATAGGATCTGCATCAGGTTTAATGTGATGGATATATCTTAGGTGGTAGCATTCTACAATTTGTGTTTAAGTTTTGTGGGCAACTCTTTAATAAGTGGAACAGAATAAAGCAGATACATTTTTCCCTGAAACTCACCTGAAGTGCAGAAAGAGCCACAGCGCCACAGAGACATATAAGTGGATATACAGGGAAAAGAAATCTCTCTTCTTTGTGAGGCTGGATGAAGAAAATTATAAACCAAGTATACATTGGAGCCAAGGTAAGCCAATATGGGTGGCCTAAATTCTGAACTGCAAGACATAGAAAAATATCCACCTTTCAACATAGTAGAACAAATCAACATATTTGTCTCAAAGTCATACTGATCTCAAATTTGGGAGTGTATGCCCTAGGACATTCCATAAAATGTTTCAACTCTTATATTTATACTTTTTTCAGTGTGATAAAGGCATCAAGCCAAAAGAGGAATATACTCCTTGCTCTCCCAAGAGACCTAAAATCTAAGGGAGGCACAAAATTGGATTTAGCTGGAACACAAATGATCGTCAGGTTAGTGGGTAATAGAACTGGATAAATTCTACTGGATGAGGGGGAAAAAAACCATCTTCCTCTAGCAAGTCCTGCTACTAAGACTAAGGGTTCCTGAGATCAATCAAAAGCAAAACACAGACTTTATTGGGTTTTCATTCCTATGTTCTACTTAATTCATTAATCCTCTTATCTATACACCAATCAGTCTGTTAAAACAGTTATAGGTCAAAGGAAAAAAACCTGTGGATTCTCAAACACATTACTGGTTTTCATTAAGCCACAAATGACAGAAAGTGTTTCAAAGCAAACATTAAAATGCTCTTAAAGGAACTATACTGATTAAGTTTTCTCTCCTCTTCTGCAATACCCATCGACACTGGATCCCAAAATTGGGACCAAAATGTACATAAAGCATGTGAAAGAATTAAAGAAATGTAATGAGCACTAAGACCCAGGAATCTGCTGGAGAGTGCCTGTGGTTAGGTACACCAGCACAGAGTGATAAGCCTGCAGCCCACAGTGAAGGCATCGCCTACTGCGTTTATATTAGTGATAATGAGCAGAGCAAACTCTGGCAAGGGGTAGGCAGACGGCGCTCCCTGGTGTTCATTATGTCTATGGTAAGAAAGTTTAGAAGATCAGGAATATCATTTAAGATACAATTTAGCAATACCTAATTTCCCGTTCCTAAGTTATCTGTATTCACTGAAGAAATTCTTTAGAGACAAAAAGTATTGAACTGTAACAACAAGGCTATTTTTAAAAATTCTTGCTCTAAGATTTTATCATGAGATTTTAGGTTATAATTTAGGACTTTATACTGTTCCTTGTGGTACAAATTTTTTTATTAGAAGAAAAATGTTTGTATTGTCTATAAGAAAACAGTCTCTTTCTCTTCTATACCTTATATGCTAACAAATGATTTATTTTAAAATGTGGCCAAAAATTTTGAAATGTCCTTCATACAATATATAAAATCACAACCAGAACTGGGCTTGATGGGATCACAGATAATTTCTATTCTGCTTCTTTATAGTTTTGCATTTTTTTCTGTTAAAAAAAATTTTCCATTTCTAAACTACACATAAAAATAGAAAGCACTCATTTTCTGACTAGGTAGATATGAGTGTAGATTAAACATTTTAAACCAGTATTACTTTGTACCATAAAATTATTCCACACTGTAGAGAACAGCTTAATATTCTAGTTATTTTTTACTTACATCACAAGCATTTCTAAATTTTCCACAAGCATAAATTATTAATATTAATACTATTATTATTATCTGAAAGAAAGAGAAGGTGTTGCTATATTGCCCAGGCTGGTCTTGAACTCCTGGTCTCAAGCTCAAGCTATCCTCCTGCCTCAGCATCCTGAGGAGCTGGGACTGCAGGCACATGCCTCTGGCCTGGTTGGTATAAATTATTTTTATAGTCAGAAAAATAGTTACTTTTCAAAAAGAGAAAAAGTGATCCTGAAGAAGTAGAAGGGATAAAAGAACAAGTTAACACCTCCAAGGAGCAAACAGCTGAATCAAAAATGTGGAACATTGTGCAAGATGAATGGCCTGGTTTCTTTAAAGAAATCTTTAGGAGAACAAAAGTAAGACAGGGGTCTTCTTTAAAAGCCTAAGGAACAACACCAAATTCGGTATGTGACCCTTGTTTAGATTCTGCTTTATTAATTTGTTTATTTATTTATTTATTTGAGTCAGGGTTGCACTCTGTCGCCCAGGCTGGAGTGCAGTGGCACAATCACAGCTCACTATAGTCTTGACCTTCTGAACTTAAACAATCCTTCCGCCTCAGTCTCCCAAGTATCTGGGACTACAGGTGTGTGCCACCGCACTTGGCTAACTTTTTTTTTTTTTTTGTAGAGACAGAGTTTCAATACATTGCCTAAGCCAGTTTTAAACTCTTGGGTCCAAGCAATCCTCCTGCCCTGGCCTCCCAAGATGCTGGGATTACAGGTATGAGCCACTACATCTGGCTAGAATCTGCTTTAAACTAACTATAAAGGGCTATTTTTCAGACAATGTAGGAAATCTGAATATCAACTGGATATTAAATGATATTAAGGAATTATAGAAAATTTGTTAGGATAATGGCATTATGGTTATGTTACAAAAGTCCTAACACAAAAGTGACTCTGAAAGCTGCTCTAATATTCTTATAACTCAGTGAACTGATCATAAACTATCAATAGTAGAAAAGCAGAATGGAGGTGGAATGGGGAAACTAATCATATGGCTTCCAAATCAGACAAGTTTGGAACTAAATCCCTTTCCAAACCTCATATGAATTTCTGTTCAAATCTGCCTCCCATAAAAGAAACAATAGGCACTGGATATCCAAGGCCACCACAACTTGAAAACACCAGCCGTACAACACAGAGTAAGAGCAAGCAAAATAAATGACAAGCCAGACTTTCCACAACAGGGTAAATACAGAAACAAAACAGAACAAAGAGAAGCATCATGCTTCTGAAGAAACCCAAAGCTTCTCTTACTTCAGTATCCAATTTGGGGAAGTCCTATATAGTTCAGTTTTAAGTTTTTGGTTGAAGTACCTTTCCAAAGGTTTGCTTCAAGCATGGACTTTTTTTTTTTTTAGTCAGACTCTCACTCTATCGCCCAGGCTGGAGTGCAGTGGCACCCTCATGGCAACCTCAGCCTCAACCTGCTGGGCTCAGGTGATCCTTTCACTTCAGTCTCCCAAGTAGCTGGAACCACAGGCATGCGCCACAACACCCAGCTAAATTTTTTTGGATTTATTGTAGAGATGAGGTCTTGCCATGTTGCCCAGGTTGGTCTCTAACCAGTAGGCTCAGGCAATACTCTCACCTCTGCTTCTCAAAATGCTGGATTACAGGTGTGAGCCACTGCACCCAGCCTTAGCATGGATCTTAAGCAATCTACCCGTTTAACACACACTTCTTTAAAATACAGAAGGATCAAATAGGCTTGTTATCTTCTGAGATTTTATAAATGTTTTTGCCTCCCTGGGTGACTGTGCTAATGATACTGACTTCCTCACTTGAATATGTGCAACAATTAACCACATATTCACACAGGTTCAAATAATCAACAAATCAAGACTGAAAATTCAACAAGCCAACCATTTCTATAGGAGGAAAATGGAGACTAAAGTAAGTAGGAGTCTTCTCATTTCTTGGAATACATTGTCAGTTGCTCTTTCCTACCATGCCACTCACCATGAAATCTCTGCAGCAGGTATTCCATTAGAGAAGTCAGTGGTAAGACCAAGAGGGCCAAAGCAAAGGCTACATTGAAATTCAGAAATCCATTAACTAAGTAGAAATACCAGGGTTCTGTACCTGAGGGAGACAAAGAGGTGAGAAATCATTAGTGGAAGTTTCAACACCTTTTACAGTGCTAAATGCATAATGTGCTCCGTAACACTGATGATCCAATGCCACAGCCCACTCTTCCCATGCTAAACCACACACAGGAAGCACAAAAGCAGAAGATGGGAAAAGAATGGGATTGGTCATGAAGATTTAGAGAGAAATTGAGTTTCAAATAGTTAGCTGTATTTTCTATACTGACTCCCATATCCAGCCCAAATTGCTGTGCTCAAATGGAATAATGCTTTTTCAAAACTATCAGATAATTTAAATAGCTTTAGCGCCACATAGAGCTAAAATCATAAAAACGCTATTTTAATTTTTAATTTATTCTCACATTCTGCAGACCAGAGGAAAGAACTTAGTTTCAGCCATTCAGGCCTCTTATTTTGTTTTCACTGTTGTCCCATTTACAATCTAGCTTCTTTTCCCTTGATATGCTCAACCACTATTTTAACATCATGTTCACAGGGCACCGTGTGTTTGGAAAAAAGCAACAACTGATTTTTCTTAGGATCATGTTCAGAGCCCCAGGCCCTGCTCCAAAGCTTTGAGGACTCAAAATGAAGCAAAATGACTAAAAACATGAGCCTCACTAGTACTGGTTTTAATTCTTTAACTCAAAATCCTTAAACCCAAATGATGAGAAACAGCCCCCTTTTGCACATTTAGCAAGGGCTGCTTTTCCCTTCTGTATGATTACTTCAATCAGGCAGTGAATGACACATGCGGGTTTTAATCACTGTGTGATGTGACACCCACCTTGCACCACGGCAATTTCCTGCAATCAGCATTGCTTAAAAGGGTAATCAGAAGGCAGAGGAATAGTCAGAAACACCTGACATTCATGCAGCTTGCACAGCAAAATAAAATTAGAAACCAAACCCATAATGCTAGAAACATTTAGGGGAGAAGAGGATGGGTGGTTACACTAAGCAAGGGTTGAAGTTCAACTGTATCACCTTTGGGGGCAGTTCAGTCCTTCCTGTCTAAATACAACGATTGAGTTTGTTCATGAACAAAGGTCCTATCCCAGGCCAATGGGATAAATGTTCATTAGGGACATTTTAATCTTGTATTATTTACCAGTAAACATTTGGGTTAGAGAAAATTAATGGATGGTTTTTATCTTCAAAACAGAAATACATGTCTTCTCTGGATTTTAATTAATATTTAACAACATATTTCCTAAACTGAGTCCTTTAGGATCCAGTTTCCAGAGAGCAAGCTTTCACACAATCCTCTCCTGACCACCAGTGTGGTGGTGTGCCATCAACTTCTGATCCACCTTTTTCCTTAAACAAGTTCTGGAAATCTGAGACCAAAGAAGAACCACAGAGTGGCCAGAAAGAAAGAGGTCATCCTTTGCATTATCTATTATGACATAAAGCATCAATAGACAAAAGCCTCTTGTCTCTTTGATATTTGCAAACACAGACTGTTTTTTCAGGGAAGTTCTTTCATTTCCAGAAACATTTGTCTCTAACACAATTTACTATACCCTGTTGTTAGAGCTATCCCTTTACCAGGTATAGTGTACTCTAAGATGCAGAAACAAACGTATTAAGTTAGTAAGCTCACTTATTTTTTTGTATTAGAAATTCATAAATCAAGTTCTCAGCTTAGCTATGAAGATTTCATAAGACTGCTATTTCCCTGAGGGATGGGGCAAAAACTAGGTGATAAGCCAAGAGTGAAGAAGGTTCAAGTGACAATGGTTTTACAAGTAAGGGCAAAAGGGAACAAAAAGAGTGAGTTCAGTTAGCCAGAGTCACCTGCCTTAGGAAAGAAAGGGCATAAACTTTCATCTCTTTCCGAGGAGACACTCAACGCTGCTGCTCAGAATGCATCAAAGCTAAGCTATGCAGAAAAACCCCATCAGAATGACAAGCTAAGTGTTGAACTGGAGTGAGATGTTAGGTGAATGTGAGCTGGCAGCAGGATCTCCGCAGAGCATGACTCACCATCTTCCTCCCTATGGAAAAGTTCCTCCATTCCTTTCATTCAAATGAGCTAAAGGCAGTTTTCAAAGAGGCTAAATGAAGGGATAATGTTTACTGTTCCATAGATTGAATGAAGGGGAACCATTTTACAGAACTATAATTTTATAGAACTGAAGGAACTAAATTATAGTAAGTTATCCTTATAGATGTTAAATGTGGACCACCAAGAGGGAAAAGCCACTATTAATAGTTTCAACAGAAACTATTAATAAAAGAGTGAAGGCTCTAGAACAATTCTGGCTGGCAGTCAGCTGTAAGTAGGGCTCATAAGACCCCACTGGGGCTTTTTCCTCTGCTGCTGCAAGAATGGAAACCCGTAGGCCTTCCCACAGAGGGCATTCACCTTCACCTTCTGAAGCTTTCCACCCAGCGATCTGACAGGCATTGACAAAACACATTAACAGGCAATGGGATCCCGGTCTAAGCTGCAAAGAGGTATTCTGAGTTGACTCACTGTTCTTTCTGAGGGAAGAATGTTTCCTATCAGTGTCCTCCTATGCCTTCTCCAGGCCTGTGTGCTCCTCTCAAAGAACACCATTCGTACACTCACCAAACAAAAATGCCCATGTACGTCAACAACCGAGAACTTGAAATGTCACAAGAGGCAAAATCAGTGCTGAGACCAGTCCCTTTCTCTTCTGCCATACCAAATTTCTCCTCTTCATCTTTGACCCCATAATGTTTTACCTATGACTTCGCAATTTTAGTCTACACTACTCTAAATTTCCTAAGTGCCAAGTATTCTTCACCTTGTCCAAACACTCCTTTCTTCCAAAAAAAGTGCAGTGCTCCCATGTGAAAAAGAACCTGCAGTATGCATCCACTCTACCACCCAAGCTCTTCAGGGACTCTTGATCACCCTCAAAGTCAAAATACACAAACCTTCAGAGGTGCAAATTCCCACCTGTTCCATAGATCAGGTCTACCTCCTACTATTCTCTGTTTCTGCAAGCTTACTCTCTGTCAGAGTCTCGGCAGCCAAACTCCAGTGTTTTGCTAAGGGTTTGTCTTAGCTTAAAGAACACAGGCTTTAAGTCAAACAACTCTGGACTCTGACTCCATTTCTGATGCTTCACTGTGTGGCAAGTTCCTCATTGTCTCAACCTCAGTATACCCATCTGGGAATAAAGATTGCCTATCTCACAGAGTTTTTGTGAGAGGAAGAAGAATGTATGTGTAGAATTTCTGGCATATAATAGGCATTCAATAAACAGCAGCTACTGTAGTTAGTATCAGTGAAAAAGTACTCCTTTTGTTTCCCCTGACTTCAAAAGAAAGGAGTCAGCTCAGGTCTGGAATGTGTCATTAATATATGTTATCTAGCCAAAAACATGTAGAAAGGTCCCTTTGAAAGGCAAGAACAAGGCTGGGTGCAGTGGCTCAAGTCTGTAATCCCAGCACTTTGGGAGGCCGAGGCAAGAAGATTGCCTGAGCCCAGGGATTCGAGACCAGCCTGAGCAACTTGGCGAGACTTTGTCTCTACAATAAATCAAGAAAAATTAGCCAGGCATGATGGCACATGTCTGTGGTTCCAGCTAACTGAAAGGCTGAGGTGGAAGAACTGCCTGAATCCAGCAGGTCAAGGTTGCTATGGTTGTCAGCATGCCACTGCACTCCAGCCTGGGCAACAGAGTGAGACTCCAACTCAAAAAAAAAGAAAAAAAGAAAAAAGAAAGCCAAGAACAATAAAGAGGGTAGATATTTATATGATTACAATCACAATGGAGAGACTGAAGTTAATTGCTCATGCCTGAATAATTTCTACCTAAAATTCAACCAATGCTGTAAACAGAAGTTTTTAAAAAGAACTCAATATTCGGCTGAGTGCTGTGGCTTGCAATTATAATTCCCAAACTTTGGGAGGCTGAAGCAGGAGGACTGCTTGAGTCAGGAGTTTGAAACCAGCCTAGGTAACACAGTGAGACTCCATGTCTACAATTTTTTTAAAATGTGGTGGCATGCAACTGGAGTCTCAGTTATGTGGGAGGCTGAGGCCAGGAGGATCACTTGAGCCCAGGAGTTTGAGGTCGCAATAAGCTATGATCACACCACTACACTCCAGCCTGAGTGACAGAGCGAGATCCTATCTCTAAAGAAACAAAAAAAAAGGAACTCAATATTTGATCTTTTTACCTCAGCAATCCTGATGCTTGACATTTCATTTGTCTAAAATGCACTCTACCAGGGACATTCCTACTCTTCCTTCTAGGCTCAGCTCAAGAAGCACATCTTTCCTGAAACCACCAGAGGAACTTGCTCCCATGATTCCCTATCTTTCCACTGTGACACATAACTGTCTTGCACTTATCTGTGTGTCTGCAGCCTTATTTTACAGCAAGTTCTATGAGGACACATGGTAAGCACTCAAAAGCAATTTATTCAATATTTTTTTAACTGAAATCCATTTGTCCATTCATTCAAGACATATTTACAGAATTACTATGTTCCTATGAGAATATACTATCAGAAACAGTACCAAGAGATGTATGTAAAAACTATCTGCACAGTGCATTTTTAATTTTCAGATAAGAAACCATGTGCCTACCATAGCTAACAAGGCACCTGGGCAGGAGATTCTTGTAAAACAGCCAAAATAGTGCCAAACGTGTAAGTAAAGTGAAACATCTGGACTTTCTAAGATAAAAGACATGGCGTTTTACTGTTGGACAATTTTATAGCACCTATTAAAAGATAACTCTTTCACATTTACGGAGTAGAACTCACCAATTATAATAAAATCAGCTGAAAATTAAAAAGTACTTTTGGGTTTAAAAAGTATTTTACATCTATTACTCTTTTTTGGTAACAAGAAAATCCCATGCCAGCACCACACCAGGTCTAACCAAAGTAGTTCTGGGGCACAGTAGTAAACAAAGCTCTAACACAACCTGATGGACACTGCAGAATTAACTCACTCTCTCTGACAAACTTTTACTATAAGTTTGGAATATACAAGGAATTCCTTCCTAAGATGGAAGATGTATTTTATCTGCAGGCCTGCTAAAGCGAAAAGGAGTTAACATTCTTTAAAAGAAAGAAAATTGGGACAAAAATTTTTGTCATGTTCAAAGATGAGGTTAAAAACACAAAAATTCTACCATCAAGAAGCAATTCCCTACGGTCTGACTGACTGCAGCCCTTCATCAGTTCTGTTCGTGGCTGGTGTGAGAGTTCTCTCTGTTCCAACAAAGTTTTTGCCACTGCTAAGCAAGTGATGAGTTCCTGTCCATCCAAAATAGCAAAATCTGAACTGAAGTGGTCCCAGGTTCATCAAAGTAGACAGAAAGAAGTTCCCAAGGCCTTATTCCCAGTAAAACACCGACCAAAATGAACAGCAAATGCCAATGTACAAGGAGAGACTGGCCACTGCTGTCCTGGATCCAAAAACCTACCACAGAGGTCCCTAACCAACCCACTGTTAAACCAGAAGCATAAACCAAAATCAGAATTTAGGCCAGGCACAGTGGATCATGCTTGTAATCTCAGCACTTTGGGAGGCTGAGGCAAGAGGATTGCCTGAGACCAGCCTGGGCAATATGGCAAGACCTCAACTCTACAATAAATCAAAAAATTAGCTGGGTATGGTGGCACATACCTGAGGTCCCAGCTATTTGGGAGGCTGAGGCAGGAAGACTGCCTGAGCCCAGCAGGTCAAGGCTGCGGTAGCCGTGATTGTGCTACTGCACTTCAGCCCAGGCGACAGAGTGAGATTCCAACTCAAAAAAATTTATTCTTTCCTACTTTCCCTACCAGTCTGGTTTTTTCTCTATTTACATGCCTCATCAATCTAGAGGGATACAAAAAAAAATCTGTCACTTTCATATTCTCTCACAAAACTTTTATAAAATAAGCAGTGAGAATATTAATATATAATAACCCATTATGAAGGTGAAGAAGTGAATTTTTCAAAATTAACACAAATTCACTCAATTTATTCACCCAAGCAGAATGGATATTACGTTTCCAACAGACTCCACGTAAACCCATTTCTACCATGCAATCTGGATCTAAGAGCTTTTACCGTCTTGTGGAATCAAATAAAATTTTACAAGTAAACTACAAGGCACTATTACAAACACGCCAACCCTCCCAAGTGAAAGGGAGACATCTAGCGGCAAAAGCTTAAAACTGGAGCTTTTTCTCACATCATTAGAAATCTTGAAGCCATTTAAGCCTTTTTAAAGTTCTTTCATTTAGCAACTATTCTATCCATAAGGTTTGTGAATTCAATTCATCAAGCAAAACACCGCTTATTTTAACCTACTGTCATCGAAAATGATAATATTCCCAAAATCCCAGGACACTCAAGTCAATCTCACTCATGCTCTTTCCTAAAATCTCTTCAATCTGTTTGTTCTGTTGGCAAAGTGGTACAGGCAAATGAGGGACATGGCTAGTGACAAGACTTAAATTTGTAAGGGGTAGAGACAGAGTTTGTGTATGTATTTACGTACGTATGTATGTATGTATTTGTCAGGTCTCACTGTGTTGCCCAGGCAGTGGCACGTGCAGTGGCACGATCACAGCTCACTGCACCCTTGATCGCCTAGGCTCAAGTGATCCTTCTGCCTCGGCCTCCTGAGTAGCTAGGATTACAGACATGTACCACTATGCCTGGTTAATTTTTTGTGATTTTTTTTTTTTTTTGGAAAGAGGAGGTCTCACCATGTTGCCCAGGCTAGTTTCAAACTCCTAGACTCAAGCAATCCTCCAGTTTTGGCCTCTCAAAATGCTGGGATTACAGGTATGAGCCACCACACCCAGTCAGACAGGGATACTATTAACTTGTATGGCAGAGCCCCAGAACAATCACATATATAGAATGCTCTAAGACCCTGAAAAGATTAAGGCAGACAAAACTATACTTAATTTGATGCAAAAACTGTCTCTCTCATAAAATGTTTACTGACTTGACTGCTCTGATTCAAAAGATCTCCAGCTCATCATTCCGAAACTATAACTAATTGAAATGCCCTCAGGGGAAATATAAAACTGGCTACTTAAGTGAAAGGCATCCCAGGAGAGTGGAGATGGTGTAAACTGAAGAATGCAGCCCCAGACTAAAGGTATTCATGTGTTTTTCTCCATCCCTAAGCTGATCAACTATCCACCCTCTTATGATGACGCCGGTCCATCCCCATTTGATATATTTTCCCTACAGATTTTCCAAACTTTCTCCCTTAATGCCTGATATCGAGGTGATACACATTAAGAAAAAGAAAAACAGTCAATGTATATATCTATAGAAGATGTCTGGAGAAATATATTCCTAGGAATTAGTAATAGCTATGTGAAGATAATGGGGCTATGTTTTTATTTTCTTCTTTTTATTATCATATTGATTTTCTAATAAGAAGAGGGAAAAATAACTCTTAATTTTAGAAATTTAGCATAAAAAGTCATGGCATACCCAACAGAGTTCTCAAAACTCTGAAAGTGGGAGTAAAAATAGCAGGACAGAGAGCTTGTATCTGAGTATCACATTAACCAGGGAGAAATACTTAAGTGGTTATGTGTCATCACTGGGCTATATTCAAATGTCATTCTATTCTTTTTTTTTTTGAGTCAATCTTGCTCTCTTGCCCAGGCTGGAGTGCAGTGGCATCATCATGGCCTACTGCAGCCTCAACCTGATGGGCTGAGGCGATCTTCCTGCCTCAGCCTTCCAAGTAGCTGGAACTATAGGCGTGTGTCACCACACCCAGCTAATTCTTTTATTTATTGTAGAGATGAGATCTTGTCATGTTGCTGAGGCTGGTCTCAAGCTCCTGGGCTCGGGCAATTCTCTTGCCTTGGTTTCCCAAAGTGCTGGGATGACAAACATGAGCCACCGTACCCAGCCCATTCTAGTCTTTTTCTTTTTTTTAGAATTGGAGTCTCACTCTGTCACCCAGGCTGGAGTGCAGTGGCACACTCCTGGCTTACTGCAGTCTCAACATGCTGGGCTGAGGTGATCCTTCTGCCTCTGCCTTCCAAGTAGCTAGAACTACAGGTACGAGATACCACGCCCAGCTAATTCTTTGATTTATTGTAGAGACATGGTCTCACCATGTTACCCAGGCTGGCCTCAAACCTGCGGGCTCAGGCAAACCTCTTGCCTCAGCCTCCCAAAGTGCTGGGATTATAGGCTTGAGCCACCGCACCTGGCCCTATTCTAGTCTCAAACTGGAAAAGACAATTACCAGCAGAATAAAAAATGCTGTATTTAATTAAATGAGACAGCTAAATTAGATTTTTGAAGCTCAGGCAATTTAAGCTAACTCCTAACATTTTCCCAAATTTCACAAAGCCTTACCATAAAGATCAGGTCCATGGGAAGTAAAGACATTATACAAAACAATGTTGAGTGGTGCAATCACCAACTTCCCATAATAGTAGCTGTCAATGACCACCACAGGCACCTAAAGCAGGACAGAAAACACAAGCAATTAGAAAGTTCTGCTCTGGAAAGAGTCTCTAGATGCTATTAGAATACATCTAAGAATTTTTTTTAAATGAACTCCTAATGTTCCCATTTTCACATCAAAGTTGCTCTTGTTACTTCAGAACAAAACAAGAAAAAAGAAAACTCACCAGAAAGAGTATTAGGGCCACCAGCGACCAATGAAAGAAACTCTTCCACTTGTGTTTCATGACTAGCAAATCAAAGGCAATGGGTAAACTAACAGAGAAACAGAGAGAGGAGTTAAATAAAATACAGAGACCGGTCAGATTCACACATACCTCATGCTGAACTGAGAACAAAATGTCTCTGCCAGTTACAGTGAGGGAAGCTGGTATGTGATAGGACCCATCAGAGCGCTATGCATCCCATGCATGTATAAGAAATACAGACATTGGCCAGGCTTGGTGGCTCAGGCTGTAACTCCAGCACTTTGGAAGGCCAAGACGAGTGGATTGCCTGAGCCCACAAGTTCGAGACCAGCCCAGGCAACTTTGGCAAGACCGCGTCTCTACAATAAATCAAAATTTGGCCAGGGGTGGTAGTGCACACCTGCAGTCCCAGCTACTTGGAAGGCTGAGGCAGAAGGATCGCTGGTGCCCAGCAGGTAGATGCCAGGGTGGCCATGAATGTGCCACTGCACTCCAGCCTGGGCAGCAAAGTGAGACTTTAACTCAAAAAAAAAATGAAAGAAAGAAAGAAATACAGACACTGAGCTGCCAGGATGAACTCCATGTTACACATATCTATGTGGAATCATAAGAAAATGTGCCCTATCGTCCTACATCCACCTTGCTAAATAAAAAATACTCATCTCTTCCCCCCTTCCACACTTTACTAGGATTTTAGTAATACAGTGATACTATAAACTTTGACTTCAATTCGGATATACTATTTTTTTCTTCCATTTACTTAAATTCCTCAAGCAAGTGACATATATGTGTTTCCCTCATTTCACTGAAAGCCCTGCATCAAACTAATAAGGCTGTGATCCAAGGTCCACTGGTACTCCCCTTGGCAAGACCCAATATCTCTTTGAAAGCTTCATCTTCCTTTGCTTTCTTTGTACTGGACACAAAACATCTGTTCCTCCTTCTTTAGATTCCCTGGGCTCCAATTCTTTTATGGTCTCTTCCCTAACGCTCCTTTCTTTGATTTGTTTATTTTTATTTTTATTTTTTTTTGAGTTTGAGTCTCACTCTGTCGCCCAGGCTGGAGTGCAGTGGCATGCTCACAGCTACCCCAGCATCAACCTGCTGGGCTCCGGCAATCCTTCCACCTCAGCCTTCCAAGTAGCCGGAACTACAAGTGCACGCTACCATGCATGGCTAATTTTTGATTTATTGTAAAGACGAGGTCTTGCTAAGTTGCCCTGGCTGGTCTCGAACCTGCGGGCTCAATCCACTCACCTCAGTCTCCCAAAGTCCTGGGATTACAGGCCCTGGTGTTCCTTCCTACATTGTTTTTTTCCTACTCCTTCACCATTGTCATATCTACCCCAAGTAACTACATTCATCACCTCAGTAGGTGCTTCCACTCTTGCTGCATGAACAATCACCTACGTTCCCATCCAGACTTTCAAATCTAGAACACCCCAGTCAAGGTCTTTACCCATGCTCTAGCCGCTCTCTCCCACACCAATCTATTTGCACAGAATCCAACCAAATGCCCATTACAGGCTCCATTCTCGCCCTCTCCATAAAATCTCTGCAGAACAAATTTCTCTCATCTTTGAATTCACATGGCACTCTCACCTCTATCATGTATCTGCCAATGTCTTATGCTGTTGTGGGACGTCTCTTCTGTGACGTGAACTTCCACACTGTATTATGTAAATTTTGCATTAACATTTTGTGGTTTCATTTTTTGTCCTCCCAACTACTTAAACTTTCATAGTACCTATATCTCTCCTTTGATAAGCCATCTTTTTTTTTTTTTTTTTGAGTTGGAGTCTCACTCTGTCACCTAAGCTGGAGTACAGTGGCACACTCATGGCCACCCCAGCGTCAACCTGCTTGTCTCCGGTGATCCTTCTGCTTCTGCCTTCCAAGTAGCTGGAACAACAGGTGTGCACTACCACACCTGCCTAATTTTTCTTTTATTATAGAGACAAGGTCTCGCCAAGTTGCCCGGACTGGTCTCAAACCTGTGGGCTCAGGCAATCCACTTGCCTTGGCCTCCCAAAGTGGTGGGATTGCAGGCTGAGCCACTAAGCCCAGCCAGCCATCATATTTTTGATAACTTGTTCAACGTCTGTCTTTCCTAGTAAAATGTTAGGTTCTCAAAGGGCAGGAACTATGGCTGTTTAATTTCTGTAATATCAGCAGTGCCCAGCACAAAGTATTCAATGAATGATGGTATGTTGCTAATTGACTGATTGTGATCCTGAAGTCAGTTATCTTGACTAAAGAAAAACAAATCAAAATGTGTCACCTTGAGGTATCTGGGGACTCAGTGAAATTCAATACAGACAGAATAGAGTGAAAGGGATGGAGGAATGGACAAAAGGAGACTGGAGAAGTACAAGTAGGGAGGAACACACAAGGCTTTGTGAGTTACCTTTGAGTTGGGATACTGTAGAGCAGGGGTTGGCAAACTTTTTATTTAAAGAAACTAACAGTATCTATTTTAGGCTTTGCAGGCCATATATGGACTCTGTTGCGTATCCTTCTCTGTGCATATATGTGTGTCATTTTGCTTTTTTTGAGTCGGAGTCTCACTCCATCACCCAGGTTGGAGTGCAGTGGTACGCTCACAGCCACCACAGCCTTGATCTGTTGGGTTCAGGCGATCTTTCTGCCTTAGTCTTCCAAGTAGCTGGAACTACAGGTGCACGCCACCACACCCAGTTAATTTTTCTTGATTTATTGTAGACAAGGTCTCACCAAGTTTCCCAGGCTGGTCTTGAACTCCTGAGCTTAAGCAATCCTCTCACCTCTGCCTTGTGTGTCATTTTTAAATAACCCTTGGCCAGGCTTGGTGGCTCAGCCTGTGATCCCAGCACTTTGGGAGACCAAGGCGAGTGGACTGCCTGAGCCTGCAGGTTTGAGACCCACCCAGGCAACTTGGTGAGATTTCGTCTCTACAATACATCAAAAGAAAAATTAGCTGGATGTGGTAGTGCATACCTGTAGTTTCAGCTACTTGGAAAGCTGAGGCGGAAGGATGGCCGGAGCCAGCAGGTTGAGGTTGCAGTGGCTGGGAGAGTGCCACTGCACTCCAGTCTGGGCAATAGAGTGAGACTCCAACTCAAAAAAAAAAAAAAAAATCAACCCTTTAAAAATATAAAAATTGGTCAGGCATGGTGGCTCACACCTGTAATCCCAGCACTTTGAGAGGCCAAGGTGGGAGGACTGCTTGAGCCCAGGAGTTTGAGATCAGCCTGGGCAACATAGCAAGACCTTGTCTTTATAAAAAATAAAAAAGTCCCAGCTACTTGGGAAGCTGAGGCAGGAAGATCATTTGACCCCAGGAGTTCAAGGCTGTGGTGAGCTGTGATTGGCCCACTGAACTCCAGCCTGGGCAACAGAGTGAGACTGATTCAAAAAAATAAAAATAAAAATAAAACTGTAGAAAGTTTTCTTAGTTTTCACTAGCTAGATTTGGCCCATGGGCCACAGTCAGCCAACTCTTTTGACACAAAGCAATAGAGAGCTATTATGGCATTTAAAAGAATGACAAAACCACATTTGCATTTTAGGAAGATAACTATAGTTTGAGTGTGGAGAGTAGATTTATAGGGGATAAGTCTAGAGAAGAGATCATTCTAAAGGCTGTGTTGTGAGCTAGGAGCACAGGGTGTGAAGAAAAGTGGTCAGATTCCAAAGATATTCAGCAGATACATTAATTAAGAGGATGTGGGAAAGAGAAAAGAGTCACATAATCTTCAGATTTCTGGCTCAGTATTGAGGAGATGGTTGTACCATTTACTGGAATAGAAACAGAGGTAAAGGAACAGATGTAGCAGGGAGATGAGTTCAGGAGCTAGCTAGCAGACAGCTAGGAATATATGAATGAAGCCAAAAGAAATGATTGGACTAGACAGTAAGATATGGAAATCACCAAGACAGTTGAGAGACATTAAATAGAAATAGAAAGTTCAGAAGAGGGCCTAAGATCAAATCTTGAGGAATATAATAATTTGAGGATGACTGGGCACAGTGTAGTACATCTTTAGTCCCAGCTACTTAGGAAGCTGAGGCAGGAGGTTTGCTCCTGAGGCAGGAGTTTGAGGCTACAGTGAGCTATGATCACAACACTGGCTTCCAGCCTGGGAAACAGAGCAAGATGCCACCTCCTAAAAAAAATTAAAATGTCAGTTCTAATTCTCTCAGTAATTCCCCTTCTAAAAATCTACCCCACAGACACATTTCCATGAGTATACAAAGATATCTGTTAAAAAATGGTCACTGAAACATTATCACAAAAAAATGAAAACCAAATGTCTACCAATAAGGCACCTGTTAAATAAATTATGGATAGCCGTATAATGCAATGCTAATTAATATAAAGAATAAAAGTAGCCGGGCTCGGTGGCTCAGCCTGTAATCCCGCGCCTTTGGGAGGCTGAGGTGAGTGGATTGCCTGAGCCCGCGGGTTCGAGACCAGCCCGGGCAACTTGGTGTGATCTTGTCTCTACAATAAATAAAAAATTAGCAGGGCATGGTAGTGTGCGCCTGTAATGCTGGCTACTTGGAAGGCTGAGGTGGAACTCTACTGCACTCCAGCCTGGGTGATGGAGTGAGACTCCAACTCAAAAAAAAAAAAAAAAATGTAGGTATGTATGTATATGTGTATACATTTACACACAAGAATAATTTCTGGAAAGATATATTCAAAACTATTAGCAGTGACCAACTTTGAGGATTGGGCTTGCAAAGAAGAAAATCAGGAATTCTTTTTACCTCATACAATCTGGTACCTTTTTTAAGTAATAAAGATATAATACTTCTATAGTAACTCTAACATTAAATGAAAATATTTTTCTAAATTACTAGCGGTACAGGGAAGAAGTTAAGGCAGTATAAACTAGAATAGAAGTGATGGGAACAAAGGGTACAAAAGGAACTTAGAGAAAAAAGCTATTGGGGGCAAGAAAAAAAGGACTGCAAAAAATTCAGATTTCAAGCCTGGGTGATTAGACAAAGGCACAGCACGGGCTGTGGAAAGACATCAGTTACAGAGTGAGAAAGCAGGCAGCATCTTAACGTCAAATTAACCCAACTCTGGGAGTTACTTTCTCATTTATAAAGTACCAGTAATTGTATTTCTCTTGCAGAGTGTTGTTGTAAGGTTTTGGGGAAAAGTTTATAAAGGATTTAGTAATGCTTAATATATAGCAAATGCTTAATAGTCATTATTCTTATTAGAATTAATAATAATAGGCCTGGCGTGATAGCTCACGCCTATAATCCCAGCACTTTGGGAGGCCAAGGTAGGAGGCTGAGGAGGAAGGATCATCTGAGCCCAGGAGGTTGAGGTTGTGGTGAACTGTGATTGTGCCACGGCACTCCAGCCTAGGTAACAGAGTGAGACGCAAGACTGAAATACTATTAATAATAATAATAATCAGAAGGAGAAAGAAAAGGAAAAGCAGCAGCAGCAACTCTAAGAGAAATATTCTTCCATTTTCCAGAATCTTTATAGGCCCAACTGATTCCTATAACTTTAGATGCTACCCAGACAACATGGAGCTAATCCAACATTAAAATTTACTATATGCCCAGTGATACTTGAGAGAGGAACTGTGTTAGTTTCTTACCCAAGAGCTGCACTGAAGGGCCAGCCTAAGATAGCCCCAGCTGCTACTCCCAGCACAGCAATGGAAGTTTTGTCCATATACCATCCAGTCATGGCTACCAATGTAGTGTACATACAGAAGCTACTAGGAAGGAATGCTGCAACAGTAAAGAAATGAAAAAAGGAAAGAGGACAAGAGTTTTAGATTTATTAGGTATCATTTATTAAAAATGTACCTACCTTGCAAAATGTCAATAACTAGCAACATACTTTTGGCATATTAGAAATTAGCAGTAAAGTGATACTCCCTTAAAAAAATGAAGTTCAATTATTTTCTTATTTTACAATAAAGATATAATACTTCTATAATAACCTAACACCAAAAACTTGTTTTTCCAGGTGTGGTGACTCACACCTGTAATCCCAGCACTTTGAGAGGTGGAGGCGAGAGGATTGCCTGAGCCCAGGGGTTCAAGACCACCCTGAGCAACTTAGCAAGACCTTTTCTCTACAATAAATCAAAAAATTAGCCAGGTATGGTGGTGTACACCTACAGTTCCAGCTACTTGGAAGGTTGAGGTAGAAGGATTGCCTGAGCCAAGCAGATCAAGGCTGCAATAGCCATTGAGTGTGTCACTGCACTCTAGCCTGAGTGACAGAGTGAGACACTGACTCAAACAAGCAGACAAAAACAAAAAGCTCCTGTTTTTTTAGGTATCAATATATGGACTAGTTATACAATACTAATCATGCCACTTCTCTCCCGGGCTTTACCACACATACAAAATCTACAGAATTCTAAGTTCCCCAGAAACACTCACAGGTAATATTTCTAGGCAGGAGATATACTTCAAAAGACTTAGCACCATCGCTGATAATTTCTTTCTGTAGAAGGTTATCTTCTGATGGTCTTCTAAGACTGTCCTGGTCCCAACCTGTACTCCATGGAAATTCTAGGAAACCTCCTCAAGGGCCAGATATTGGATGGCAGCACGGCTTTGCATCCTGCATCTACTGACATAGATACTCTAGCCTTTACATAGCACCCTAATTATTTCCATCTACCACAATCTTGTTGTTGTATACAGCAGAGGACTGAGCACATTCAGGGTCTCTGCAACAATAACAACTGAGCTAAGTGTTTTCTTTTTTTTTTTTGAGTTGGAGTCTTACTCTGTCACCCAATAACTGCACAAAAATGCAGGCTGGCCTCTCCAGCTGCAGAAAGTCTGCTTCACTAAGGAAGAACAATCAGTATTAGCTCCAAAAGAACCACTATTAGTAGGCAGTGAGGTTTTAAAAACTCAGTTTTCAGAGACTCTGTATCAAAGAATGACTTTAACTTACCTGTGCCTCAACTGCGATTATAAAACTAAATAAGGACACTCCCAGGAATCTCCCACATTTAAAGACCAATTTTAGGAGTAGCAAAGTTACTAAAAAAAAAATTTGACGTACTGATAAATATTAAATAATATTGATGGCATCCAAAGCTGTCAATTCCAGTTGCCAATGTAGGAGACAAAGGGAACAGAAGAATGAGATCTCTGACAGCTCAGAGGGCAGGGCACAAATGCCTTTTAAGACAGTGGCTCTCAAAGTCACTCCAGGGTAAAGCCCTGATGTCTCTACAGAATGCCAAATTTATATATATTCAACGAGGGAAAAGTAAATACATAACTGTGTGCTAGATATTATTTTTCGCCGGGCTCGATGGCTCAGCCTGTAATCCTGCGCCTTTGGGAGGCTGAGGTGAGTGGATTGCCTGAGTCCGCAGGTTCGAGACCCGCCTGGGCAGCGAGACCTCATCTCTACAATAAATCAAAAAATCAGCCAGGTGTGGTAGCGCGTGCCTGTAATTCCGGCTACTTGGAAGGCTGAGGCGGAAGGATCACCGGAGCCCAGCAGGTCGAGGCTGCGGTAGCCGGGAGCAGCCACTGCACTCCAGTCTGGGCGACTGAGTGAGACTCCAACTCCAAAAAAATAAATAAATAAATAAATATTATTTTTCATATATATTCAGTGTATGCACTTGAGCCTGGTACACAAAAGCAGAAACTAAAATTGAGACAATTAAATCCAGTACCTTAATTTTTCTAGAAAATTGGAAACACACTAGTTTTTGGCAGAAGACTACCTTGGCTCAGCTCATAGAACACAAATGTTCAATGGCAGCACAATTTGAAAGCCACCACTCTAGATGAAGATTTTATTCTATATTTCTAGAAGCTTATTGTACATAAAGTCCAACAGAAGACACACACAGAATACATCTCAAATAACAGGCAGAAAACAGATCATCAAGAATAGAGTTTTTAGGCACAAAGAGCATCCTTAAACAAAGTAACAGAATTATGTTCCTTGCCCTAATGGCCAAGGAAGGAAGTGAGTGGTTGGTCCAAGAAGATACTAGAAAGCACCCTGGTGAGACAGCTCTACCACTTGTACATTTTGACTTTTAGTAAGTCATTTCACTTTTCAAGTTTCAATGTTCTCTCTTACAAAAATGAGAAAATATTTGTCTTACTTAGATTGTAGGCTTATTGTAAAACTCAATCAAGATAATGCAGATAACAGTGGTCTGCAAATCACTGACATGCTATATAATATAACCTACAAATATAACCTACATCTGGACAAGTGCTTCTTATCAATACAACTATGAACTCTTTGTGAACCTGCCATCCCCTCACCTGCCCTTTTACTTACCTGATGATGAGCAAAACATGCCGGTGCTGAGAACCAAGAAGGCTAGCATCATTCGACTCACATGCAGCCCAAACTTCTTGCATACAGCCCTAGGAGAAAAGCAAAGACTATCAGCATAGCAAATATTAGGTACAGATATTTCAAATCAAAGGAAAAAAACATTCCTGCATCACAGATAACACTGAAGATCTAAAGTTAAGTAGAGAACTATCTCAACAGTTTTGCTAGCAATTTAGCATGCATTAGAAACTCAAACATTCTTATTCCTGACACAGAAGAGAAGCCTCCTACCTAAGAGGGCACGTATACTTTACATGCTAAGATTATGTCTATTGACAAGAAAACAGCATAATGTAGTAAAAAATAATAGGCCTTAGATTCAGATGGGCATAGGTTCATTCTGCTCTGCCCCTTACTAGCAGTGGAACTGTTACCTGTCAGATTCCTCATCTGTAAAATGAGGATAAAAAATACCTACTTTGTAAGGTTTCTGTGAGGAAAATGCATGCTTTAGATGAGTGCCTTGCACAGTTGCTCAATAAATGGTAAATGTCAGGAAAAAAAGACTAGGAGGCACACAAAAATGTTATTAAATGGTTATCTAAGTCAGTTTTTCTCAAATTTAAGCAATTACATACCTCCTTCTACTTCCTTCTTGTAGGTTCTTTTTGACCCCCCAAATCAACTATTTTTAGATATTATTACTTCATTTAGTTAATACTTGTTCGGACATATCCATGTGTTAACTATTTCCTTGTTCAGATTCCTTACTGCATCCCAGATCTCCTTTCTGAAATAATTTAGCGTCTTCCTAAATATATCTTTTTTTTTTTTTTTTGAGTTGGAGTCTCACTCTGTCGCCCAGACTGGAGTGCAGTGGCCGCTCCCGGCCACCGCAGCCTTGGCCTGCTGGGCTCCAGCGATCCTTCTACCTCAGCATTCCAAGTAGCCGGAATTACAGGCATGCGCTACCACGCCCGGTTGATTTTTTGATTTATTGTAGAGATGAGGTCTCGCTGCCCAGGCGAGTCTCGAACCCACGGGCTCAGGCAATCCACTCACCTCAGCCTCCCGAAGGCGCGGGATTACAGACTGAGCCTCCAAGTCCGGCTTCCTAAATATATCTTTTAGACATTCCTTTAGTGAGACTCTGTCAGTGGTAAACTGTTTTCTGGTTGGCTGGTAGGTTGATTTCTCACTCTCTTCTTTTTTTTAAATGAAAAGTCTGTATTTAGTCCTTGGGCTTAAAAGATGGCTTAACTGAGTATAAAATTTTTGGATGATGGTTAATATTTTTCTCCCAGCACTTTGAAGATAATAATTCTTTTTTTTTTTGTCTTCTGGCTCTTGAGAAGTCTTCTGACAGTCTAACAAACATTCCTTTGTAGGTATTCTATTAGTTCTCTGTCAACTTTTAAGATCTTTTTCTTTGTCGCTGACGTTTTGTTTTGCATTTTTGAGTTGGAGTCTCTCATTTTGTCGCCCAGACTGGAGTGCAGTGGCATGCTCATGGCCACTGCAGCCTCGACCTGCTGGGCTCAGGCGATCCCTTCCACCTCAGCCTTCCAAGTAGCCGGAACTACAGGCACGTGCCACCATGCCCGGCTAATTTTTTGATTTATTGCAGAGATGAAGTCTCATCAAGTTGCCCAAGCTGGTCTCAAACCCGTGGGCTCAAGCAATCCTCTCACTTCAGCCTCCCAAAGCACTGGGATTTTAGGTGTGAGCCACCACACTCAGCCTGTCCCTGGTGTTTTACACAGTTTCACTACATCCATTTCTTTTTATTTATCTAGCTTGGGATATGTCAGACTTACTAAATCTATGAATCAGCATTTTTTCCATCAAGTCTGGAAAATTCTCAGCTATTACATCCCTGAATATTGCCTCTCCCCATTTTACTATCTCCTTCTATAATCTGATCAGATGTATATCAGATCTTTCAACTCAACCGTACCCATTTCTAAATCTCTCCCAAATTTTCTGGTATCTCTGGACTGCATTCTGAGTAATTTCTTAAAAATTAGTCTTCCAGCTTACTAGTTTATTTGTTAGCAGTGTTTACTCTGCTGTTTAAACTATGTGTTGAGTTGTAAATATCAATATTATATAAATATGGCTATTATATAAATATTATACATTATGTGATTTTTATAAGTTCTGATTCTTTTTCAAATTTACCTGGACGTTTTTGCAGTCTCTTATTTCTTGTTCATGTTCTCAGTTCTCTCTTTTACTTCCTTAAGGCTATTAAATATATTTATTTTAATAATCCCTAATAAATGAAAATTCTCAGGTCAACTTTCTATTGATTGTTATTTCTGCTGGCTCTCACTAATAATGTCTTGCTCCCTTCTGTGCTTTATGATGTATTTTTATAATAACTTGTTACTCACTAGAACTTTATCTCTGGTAGTTTTTTGACACCTGGGTTAGGGATCCATTTATCTAGAGAAATTTTTGTCAGATGCTGTGGGTACCACCACCCAGAACAATTTAAAATAAATTATTTTCTTGGGGCTTGGGGACCCATGGGGGTGATTTGAATTCATGCCCAAGCCCATGTGAAGACAAACTCATGGTTACAATCCTCAAAGGTAGATCTAGCTCCGTTTTTGTTTGTTTGTTTTTTCCCTATGCTTTACTCAGAGTCAAGGTCAAAGATTTTTTTTTTTTAATTTGATATTTTACCTGTGGGAAGACTTTTAATAATGATCATTAAGCATAAATTTTTTTTCCCCTTATACAGGGTCTTGCTCTGTTACTAGGCTGGAGTTCAGAGGCACAATCATGATTCACTGCAGCACTGACTTCCTGGGCTCAAGCAATCCTCCTGCCTCAACCTCCCAAGCAGCTAGGACTACAGGCATGCATTACCACACCCAGATAATTTTTTAATTTTTTGTAGAGACAGGGACTTACTATGTTGCCCAGGCTAGTCTCAAATTCCTGGGTTCAAGTGAGCCTCCTGCCTCAACCTCCCAAAGTGCTGGAATTATAGGCATGAGTCACTGCACCTGGTCCAAATATCTCTTAATGCATTAGTAAACTATTATTAAAATAAGATGTTTGGCTGAGCATGGTGGCTTGCACCTGTAATTCCAGCAACTTGGGAAGCCAAGGCAATTGGATTGTTTTGAGTCCAGGAGTTCAAGACCAGCCTGGACAACACAGCAAGACCCCAAATCTACAGAAAGTTTTTTAAAAAATTAGCCAGGCATGGTGGCATGCACCTGTAGTACTAGCTACTCAGGAGGCTGAGGAGGAAGGATTGCCTGAGCCCAAGAGGTTAAGCCTGTGGTGAGCAGTAATTATACCACTGTACTCCAGCCTGGGCGACACAATGAGACTCTGACTCAAAAGATAAATAAATAAATAAGACATTTTTTTAGATGTCATGTAAAAAAAGTTGGCTATTTTTATTATTGGAACACTTAAATGCTTAATAGTTCCACTAATATTAAATCAACCAAAAGCCATTTTGTGAAAGAGAATGTATTGGGTGCAAATAAGGGCAGCAAGTCCCACATTGGAACTAGTTTATCAGCTAAGTTCTAGGGGAAAAGTAAATCATGATACTGTATCTTAGGACCAAAGGTAAGGTTTTACCAAATCCTACCAAGTAAAGACCAGTGATATGTCTTAACAGAAGTAAAACTAATGATACATTTATGAAGGATATGGCATTTACAAACCCCAGGAAAGAAAAAGATAATTAGAAGAACAATATTTCTCTGTAACTGTTTGTTTCAAACAAGAAGTCACGCTTTAGATATAACATCAGAAGCTAGAAAGAAAATGTCTTCTATTTCCAATCACTGTCTAGACTATAAGGATAGATAATCTATGCTACATTGGTCTTCCTCATAATGATTTTCAAGCAAAGCTTTTATACTCACTTGTAAAAGTAAAGCTCACAAATACAGCTCACAAAAGCCAGGAGACATCGCACAAAGTAAAAGACAAGAATCTGAAAGAAACCCAGAACATGAAAACAGAAGTCACAGATATGAGCTAGAAAAACACATCAAGATGAAACTACTCTTATTTGCTGGCAGTAATACTGTAAATTAGTATAAACCTTTTGAAAAATAATATATATCAAGAACCATACCAATTTTCACGTATCTGGATTCAGTATCACTCCAGGAGGTAGAACTGGAGGAAGGGGGTACATCTCATTTACGAAAATAGTAACTGGAATGTTATTAATTTAGTAAAAACTGTTTTAAAAACTACAAAATGTCCAATTACAGAAAAATTGTTAAATAAAGTATGCTATCTCTATTTCATGGACAAATAAACAGATACTATAATTTAGGTTACAAAGATAGTGAAAAACTTCTTTCAGTATAATGTTCATTCACTCAACAAGATCTTCTTAAACAACCATAATATATTAGGTACTGATTATTACATAATACTAAGTGAAAATGTATAATACAATATTATCTACACATCAGAGTCACAGCTATCTAATCTCTATGCATGTGAAAAGACTGGGAAAAAAATAGAATAAAATGGTAAGAGTATCTATAGCAGACTGGCAGAATTTAGGTGAGTAATTTTCCTATCTTTCAAATCTCTATAATGTATTTTTATTAATTTTATAATTAAGAACATCAATTTGAAAAATAATAGGGGTTATATTGAATAGCTTTTTATACCACAGAACACTATGTTTAAGAAAACTGAATTCCTCAAAATATAAACATTACTTAAGTACACAGTAGAATTAATGTAAGCATATATAACTTGGAAATTCTTTCCATTTTCATTACTATATACAAAAAATTCAAAAAAGGTTGAGTAAAGTGATCTAGTAAATGCCCATATTCATTCATTAATTCAGCAAAAACAAACTGAAAACCTACTATACACTGGGCACTATTCTAGATGCTATTAGAAATATAGATAATTTTTGTACAAGGTGTCACCACTTAATGACTCCTCATTTAATACAAGGGAATACAAAGACACATTTAAAAAGTTAAAAATCAACACAAATTAATATAAGATTTGTATTTAGGAGTAGGGCAACAATGCCATCATTCCTACTAATATTCGACATAGTAACTGGAAGTCCTAGTAGGTACAAAAAAGACACAAAAAAGAAATGAGGTATAAGGCATGAACTGGAAGAAACTAAATTTGATATACAAAGATGAAAGAGAACGCAAGAGATTCACCTAACCAGTGACACTAATAAGGAAATTCAGCAAGATAGTCAGTGTTAAGATCAAAATACAAAAATCAATTATGTTCCTCCATACCAGCAATATTCATCTAAAAAAAAACAGAAAACAAGATGCCATTTACAATAACAACAAAAAGTACAAAGAATCTAGGCATTAACCTATCAAAGACTACATAAGACTGAAACTGGGCGGAGCACAGTGGCTCAAGTCTGTAATCCCAGCACTTTAGGAGGCAGAGGTGAGAGGACTGCCTGAGCCCAGGGGTCCGAGATCAGCCTGGGCAACATGGTGAGACCTTGTCTCTACAATAAATCAAAAAATTAGCCGGGTGTGGTGGTGCGTGCCTGTAGTTCCAGTTACTTGGAAGGCTGAGGTGGAAGGATCGCTGAAGCCCAGTAGGTTGAGGCTGTGGTGACTATGAGGGTGCTACTGCACTCCAGCCTAGGCGACAGAATGAGACTCCAACATTAAAAAAAAAAAAAATTAAAAGTGATACTTTTTAAAATTTTATTAAAAGACACAGAAAATCTGGCCAGGTGTGGTGGCTCACACCTGAAATCCCAGCACTTTGGAAGTCCAAGGCGGGAGGACTGCTTGAGCCTAGGAGTTTGAGACCAGCCTGGGCAACATGGTGAGATCTTATCCCTTATCTCTACAACAAATAAAAAAATTAGCTGGGCATGGTGGCATATTCCTGTAGTCCCACCTAGTTAGGATGCTGAGGCAGGAGGATCACTTGAGCCCAGGAAGCTGAGGCTGCAGTGAGCCATGATCATCCCACTGCACTTCAGCCTGGGTAACAGAATTAAGACCCTGACTCAAAAAAAAAGACAAAGAAGATCTGACTAAATTAATAAATATACTATTTTAGGGGCAGAATGACTTAACATTGTAAAAGGATTCTCAAAATAATACGTAAATTCAACTCCAATCAAAACCTAGCAGCATTTGGGTGAAGGGCAAATGGATTCTAAAATAATTTTTAAATACAAATTTTAAAAAGGATAAAGTGAGAAATTCATCCACCAGATACTAATAGACATTACAAAGACATAATAAAAACAATATGGTACTGACAAACTGGCTAATGACAAAAAATAAAGACAGAAACAGATCCATATACATATAGGAATGAGGTTTATGATAGAGATGATATCATAAATCAAAAGGAAAAAGATTATTTGGCAGATGGTACTAGAAAACCAGCTTACCACATAACAAAAAATAAAGTTGGATTGTTCCACAATCTATAAAAACAAACTTTAAATGATTAAAGCCTTACATGTGAAAGGTAAAATTAAAAATTGAAGAAAAATACAGAACATCTCTGGAGTGAAGAATTTTTTTTTCTTTCTCTGACTGCAGTGAGCATCAGAAGGAAGGATTTCTTTTTAAAAGACCCAAAACCTACCAAACATAAGAAAAAACTGATTGGTGTAACTATATTAAAATTAAAGATTTCCCTTCTACCAAGCACCACAGACAAAGTCAACAGAGAGGTGACAGTCAGACAAGGAGAAAAGAGTTGCAATGTCTAAAATCTGCAAAGGTTACTTCTGAGAACTCCAATCAGGAGAAAATAATAGAAAACCCAACAGAAAAACGAACAAAGGTTATTAAGAGGTAACTCACAAAAAGGGAAATCTGAAAGACTAATAAATACATGAAGAAATTCTCTACCTCACTAGTAATCAGAGAAATTCAATTAAAATGAGAAGCATCCCACGTACATGAGAAAGGCAGAAATATCAAGTGCTCAGGAGATGTGAGGAAAATGGAGCCTGCAGTATTGCTGCAGGAATCACAGTTGTACAGCTATCCAAGAGTGACCTGACAGAACTCAGTGAAATTAAGTAAGCCTATGAGTCCATATATGGGATTCCATACCTGAGTGCATACTTCAGAGAAATTAAAACACAGATCCAGCGGGGCTTGGCGGTTCAGCCTGTAATCCCAGCAATTTGGGAGGCCAAGGTGAGTGGATTGCCTGAGCCTACAGGTTTGAGAACAGCCTAGGCAACTTAGCAAGACCTCCCCTCTACAATAAATTAGCTGGGCGCACACACCTATAGTTCCGGTTACTTGGAAGGCTGAGGTGAAAGGATTGCCAGAGTCAAGCAGGCTGACGCCGGGGTGGCTGTGAGCATGTCACTGTACTCTAGCCTGAGCAAAAGAGTGAAACTCCAACTCAAAAAAAAAAGAAAAAAAAAAAACACAGATCTATAAAGAGACACGACAAAGGTGCTCTCACTTGGGATTGCAAGCGTTTGGAAAGGCAGCCATCACAGCAGTATCAATTATTACCATATTGTCTCTCAAAACCAGCCACCCTTCTTTACTCAGCATTATGATGCTAGAGCTGGGACGCTACAAGCTACAATTCCTTTTTGCCAAGTGGCCCCCTGTTGGCTCTCACAAGCAGAACTAAAAGGAAAAAGGAGATTGAAAGTAAGAATAACAGCCAGGCTCAGTGGCTCAATCTGTAATCCCAGCACTTTGGGAGACCGAGGCGAGTGGACTACCTGAGCCCACAGGTTCAAGGCCAGCCCGGGCAACTTGGCAAGACCTCATCTCTACAATAAAATTAAAAATTAGCCGAACATGGTAGCATGCGCCTGCAGTTCCAGCTACTTGGAAGACTGAGACCGAAGGATTGCTGGAGCCCAGCAGGTTGACGCTGGCGTGGCTGTGAATGTGCCACTGTACTCCAACCTGGGTGACAGAGTGAGACTCCAACTCAAAAAAAAAAAAAGGAAAGTAAGAATAAAAAAGAAAATCTTCCCTAGAGGATTAGTGATGTAAGAGGAAGAATTCTGTCAACATGGCAGATTTGAAGTGGTAATAGATCGTCAAGTGAAAATAAAAACCATATGCACTGCATATTGTTAGTTCTGTACTAAGTCCTTCAACCTATATTGTCTTTTCTCTGACAAGTTAAAAAAAAAAAAAAAGCCAGAAATGAGATGGTAGGCAGGGAAGGAAAGGACAATGGTCTATCACTTTGTACAGGTGCTACCTTTTTAATCACTCTAAAATGCAAATACAATGTTTCTCTTCTGTCTAAAATCTTTCAGTGGTTTCATATAACTCACTTGGAGAAAAAACAAAAAACAGTCTAATTCCTCAATAGATCCTGCCAGATCCTGTATAAATCTGGCCTCTTCCTCTCAGTCCCATCTACCCCACTCCAACACTCCCTCTCTCTCTTAAGCATCAAACTTACTTGCTGGCTTTCTTCCCAGCTTCAGGGACATTGGTCTAGAAGACCATTCCCAACTTCCTCCCTCAACCCCATTCTTTTCGTAACTAGACAACTACTATTTATCCTTTAGTTCTCTAATTAGGGACTTCTGCTTAAAGGAAGACTTTCCCCCATTCCTCCTGCTAAGTAAACCAAAACCTCTGGACACCATATTTAAAACAAACCTAAGAAGACTTTGAAAGGTGGGGAGAGGAAGGCAGACTGGATACAGACTTTAAGACATGAGGAATAACACAATGGTAAATTCCACGGGGAGGTTTCTTTTTGCCTTACACATCCAGACATGAAGTTAAAGAAGCAGGCAACAGAAATGACAGATGGGTACAGACAAAAACACCCCACCACAGCCTGCTCTCTCTAGCCAAAGGACCAAAAAAGGGCTAGCCTGGCAGAACAAAAAAAACTCTCTCTCTTTTTTTTTAATGATCCAGAGATCTTTTATTTTTGACACCTATTAAGTCATGAATTCATAGGGAATAGGTTTCAGAAGCTCAGTTTCCTTTCCGTTGGTTCTCACAAAGTATGCTTCTCTGGATGGAGCAGGCTGGCGCTTTAGCTGAACCCATGTGCCTTCTCCTTGGCTTCCTTCTTTTTCTGGTCATTTTCCTTCACGCATCTCAGGAAGCTATCTCGACTATTTGAGTGCTTAATATGCTCAATACGCACATTGATTCTCTTGGCAAGAATCTTGCCCTTGACTTGTTTGTTAACAACGCCAACAGCATGCTGGGTTGCCATGGACAGCATCCTATCTTGCCATGGTGACATTTGTGGGGCATTCCTTTTTGAACAATACCCATTCCCTTGATGTCTACAATATCACCTTTGTTGTAGATTCGCATATATGTAGCCAAAGGAACAACCCCAGGTTTTCTGAAACAGCCCGGAGAACAGGTACCACATGCCTCTCCTCTTTCCCTTTGTGTTCGTCATTTTGGAGAATTCCTGGAAGATGGCTGTTCCGGCCCAAAATTCTTATTTTATTTTTATTTTTTTCAGTCGGGTCTCCCTCTGTTACCCAGGCTGGAGTGCAGTAGATGCTCATAACCACCACAGCCTCAACCTACTGGGCTCAGGTGATCTTTCCGCCTCAGCCTTCCAAGTAGCTGAACTACAGGCATGCACCACCATGCCTGGCTAATCTTCCTTGATTTATTGTAGAGACGAGATTTTGCCAAGTTGCCCAGGCTGGTCTCAAACCCCTAGGATCAGGAAATCCTCTTGCCTTAGCCTCCCAAAGTGCTGGGATTACAGGCATGAGCCACCGCTCCCGGCCAAAAAAACTTTTAGACAATAACTACTTTACTCCAATCAAATACCCTGGAAAAAATCTGCAGCCTACTCCCACCTAGGCATCAAAGGTCCAATAGGAAGCCAGGACTGTCATCCTTGCTGGTAGTAGTGAGCCTCACCAGACCATGGTGTCAGTGATAACCACTAGGGGAGCCTGGACTTGCACCCCCATCCCCAATCTATCAGTAACAAGGTACCCCTGCCCTCTATGCTAGGGTGGTATCAGTGGAGGCCTAAGGAACTAAAGTTCTACTTCCACTTGCCACTAACAAGGTAGAGACCTCCCCCACCCCTAGCCTCTTTCTCTTGCTGGAGCAGCCTTAGAAGAAGCTGGCTAAAACAAAAGGTGTAAATAATATACAAGGAACAGAGTGGTACCAGAAAAATATGCTGAGCCCATGAACAGATCAGAGTCTCAACATGTCCAGCTTTCAACTGAAAATTACTTGTCATACCAAGAACCAGGAAGATCTCAAAATGAATGAAAAAGTCAATCAATAGATTTCAACACCAAGACAACAGAGATGTTAGAATTATCTAGCAAAATTTAAAGAGCCATTATAAAAACATTTCAATTACCAATTAAGAACATGCTTGGAACAAATGAAAATGTAGAAAGTCTTAGTAAAAAAACAGAAGATATAAAGAAAAACTAAATGGAAATTTTAGAACTGAAAAAATACAAGAATGAAAATAAAAAGTCAATGGATAGGCTACACACTGGAATGGAGGAGACAGAGAAAAGAACCAGTCAATGGGAAGACAGAATAGAAATTATGCAGAGAGAAAACAGATTGAAAAAAAAAAGAACAGAGCCTCAAAGACCTGTGGGATTAATAATATAAGATTTGGCATTCATGTTATCAAAGTTTCAGAAGAAAAGGAGAAACAGGATAGGGCTGAAAAAAATACCCAAAAAATAACAGCTAAAAACTTCCCAAATTTGGCAAAAGACATAAGCCAAGAATACACAAGATTCAAGAAGCTGAACAGGATAAGTCCTAGGAAATCCACACCAAGATATATCACTTTCAAATTTCTGAAAACTAATCAGGTTAGATCCCCATTAACACCTAATTATTTCTCAGCACTCTGCTTAGTTCAGGGCCTCCTAATACACTAGCTATTCCACTGCACACTGTACTTTTCCTTTGTAACACCATTATCTAGAATGGCTTGTTCAATGTTCATTTTCCCCGCTAAAGTTCCATAAAGTCAGGGACTTGGTCATTGTTAAAGCCACAGCACTTAACATAGTTTCTGGCAAATAAAAGTTTCCCCATTAATATCTGTTGAATAATCAATGAATATATGATTCTTCTTTTTAAAAAGTCCACTTTTAACTAACAATCTATTTTGTAGTTAAAACTATTCCAGAGACTCACCTCTTGATCAGCCTGTCCTTACCTTATTAGTTTGTAGAATTCTTGCATGAAATGCAGCTGGCCAGGCATGAAGCAATAGGTAAGCATAGGAGCGAATGGCATATACTGGGGAATATTCCCAAGTCTGAAACCCCTCCCCATAGATGAGGTAGTGTGTCTAAAAGTACAAAACAGATGGGTTCAAGGTCATCTGATGGCAAAAAATCCCTGCAGGTAAAGTTTTTGAGTAGAAATATTAAAGAGACAAAGACACACAAAAATGCTGACATTTTCAACAAGATTTGCAATTGATAAAAAAGAACCAAAATGACTATTAAAATACCAAGAAATTATAAATTTTACAAGATTGTGGTCTGGTCAACACTGCAAGCTTGAATTTCATCCCCTGCTTAATTTTTTAAAATAGTCTTTAACCAAAACATAAAAACTCTAAATCATATATTCTCCCTAAACTACCTTTACTAAGTATTCTTTCTTCATTTCTGGACACAAAATATAATTAGAAAATTTTACCTCTGAATTTTCTATAGTAGAAGTCAACATATACATCAAGAAATAGCAGTATAAGCATACTATTTATAACACTGTTTACTTTGGTAAGCAGAAGAAATAAAGTTAAAAATGGTTGCCTCTGGAGAGTAGGATTTGGATGTGAGAAGAGGGATAGGAGCTGTTTTTCCTTTAAGTTTGAAAACCATCTCCAAGTATTATTTTGATTTAAAAAAATCTTTCACACCGCATCAACGAGGGTAGCTGCATAATAAACATTTGTATATCTAACCCTGAATTGTACCCCATATCTTTAAAATAAAAAATTTTAAAGTTAAAAAAAAGTAAGAAAATTCCAAATTGCAACTTAAGTAAACCAGCTACATTTCCTGCAGCCTTCAGTAGACATCATCAGCTTAGAATACAAAAGTGAAAATACAGTTATTTTACTAGTAGTCACACTCATATATTGTCACTTTATTTGTAATAAGTCCCAAGCAGCAAAATCAAGACCAAAAAAAGAAAACTAAAGAAATCACCTACTGGCTCCCAGTAGTTGAATGTTTCATCACAGTCAGAGATGTTGCTCAGAAGAGCAGCACATAACCTTGCTGAAAGCAGACACTTGAAAGCAGTAGATCCTTCGGGTGCCCAGACTTGACCTGCTTTGTTCCCAGATAACCTGTTCAGAAGCAAAAAAGTGTGTCAGGATGGACCTGCTAACCAGAAGAACTAAAACTAGACAGAAAGGGCAAAAAAGGCAAGGCACATCAAAGCACTTACATTATTCACCTAAAAAGGTGAATGGTTGGTTGTTATCGGTAAAATGAACAAAGAATAAGATTTAAAGGCTCACACCTCTAAGGCTAGTACTTTAGGAGCCCACGGGTTCGAGACCATCCTGGGCAACTTGGCAAGATCTCCTCTCTACAATAAATTAGAAAATTAGCCAGGCGTGGTGGCCCACGCCTCTTGTTTCAGCTTCTTGGAAGGCTGAGGCGAAGGGTCACTCAGGCTTGGGTGACAGAGTGGGACTCTGAATCAAAAAAAAAAAGAGAAAGAAAGAAAGAACAAGACTTCTAAAAAATTGTTTTAATGAGACAGGCAGGGGTCTTGCTATGTTGCCCTGGCTGGACTGGAACTCCTGAGCTCAAGCAATCCTCCTGCCTCAACCTCCCAAAGAATTAAGACTTGAATCACTCAAGCACTCCTTCCACGCCCTGCCTTTAGGGCGTAAGTTAACGAATACACTCGATGAGGGTCCATCTACCCCACTAACACATATCCTAAGTAGTCAACTACCCACTCAGTGGAAGGCCACAAAGCTTTTATCCTCCTTTTCTCTCTTGCCTTAACAAGGTCGTTACTTTTCACGGCTTTACTGATTCCCTCTTACGTTCCAATGAACAGAGAGAGGCCTAACATGTGCAAGGAACGCAGCCTGCTCCAATCCCATACGTTGCCAGTGCCAAGGCAGTTCAGACCTGCAGTCAACCGGGCGAGGGGGGCGGGGCGGGGGTACGTGGCT